TAGAAGGGAAAGTAGGAGGGGATCTTATGAAAGCAAGAGAAGAATCTTGAAGGATAAGAGAGAAGGTCAACCCTATTGAATGATCTCGAAGTTTCCGGTTAAGATGAGGACTAAAGGGAAAGTCTATGAAAGCAGTGACTGTGGGGAAATCTGATGGCTTTCTCATCTTCAGGTTCCACCTCAGTGATTCAGGACAGAAGCCTTGTAACCGCCATCCGTGTTGGGGGAGGGACCCGGGCAGGAACCAGATGTACTGAAGAAAACCTCTGTCACCCAAGCATGGCCTGCTCTACTCACTCAAGAGTAGCTTTCTCTGAAAGTGTACTGTTTCTTGAGTGAGAAATGGTGAAAAAAATTCGGGTCAAGTTGCCTTCTGCCATGGAGACTCCAATGACTCCAAAGTTTTAAATGCCTTTTCTCTCATATTTTTTTCACCATTTTACTTTGCTCTATTAATTCTGCCACTTGAGAGCTGTACACCAAGGGCGAGTTATTTCACCTCTTTGTGTCTTGCTTTTCCCCATTGGTAAAATAAGGATAATACTACAATAGGTATGAGAATTGGATAATACATGGAAAACTAGGGCATTGGTTCTGGAGGAAGACACACCTATGTTTAATCCTGGCACTGCCATTCCTAGCTGGTGATCACGGGCAAATTACTTTAAATTTGTGAATAGAGATAATAATAGAATGACATCATAGGAATGATAGGATTATGTGAGCAAATGTAGGGGAATTATCTAGCACAGTTCCTGGCATGTGGCTAATGGTCTGTGAATTTAGTTCCCTTCTTCCCCAACCTCTCACTCTCCATCCCCTTTCCTTTCCTGCCAGTAGAGTCAGGTTTACTTACTTCTCCTTGAAATTCCAGGGGTGCCTGGGTGGCTCAGATGGATAAGCATCTGCCTTTGGCTCAAGTCATGCATGGTCTCTAGGTCCTGGGATTGAGCCCTGTGTCGGGCTAACTGCTCAGCAGGGAGTCTGCTCCTCCCTTTCCTTCTGCCTCTCCCCTCTGCTCGCGCTCTCTCTCTCTCAAATGAATAAATAAAATCTTTAAAAAAAATAAAGAAATTAGGAGAAAACTGAGTTGCATCATTTCAGGGTACCACACTGACTCCCCCAGATACAGAGGAACCCCTTAAACTGAAGGATCCCCAGTTCAAAAGACAGGAAAGAGAACCGAAGAAAGAACCTAAATCTTGGAAATTCTGAGGCCGGTATTCTCCAAACACAAGATCCTTTTAAAATTTTTTATTTTTTTTTTATTTATTTATTTTTGAGAGAGAGCACAAGCATGAGCAGGGGGAGGGGCAGAGGGAGAGAATCTTTCAAGCAGACTCCCCGCTGAGTGTGGAGCCCCATTCGGGGCTTGATCCCACTACTCATGAGCTGAAACCAAGAGTCGGATGCTTAACTGACTGAGCCACCTAGGTGCCCCATTCCCAGCTTTTTAGGAGCTAGGATGTACTGCCTATGAACCTCCAGGGCTCCTTTTCCTTGTCGAAGGCCCTGCCAAAAAGGCTGGACATACTCCTCATTTTCCTTCTCCCCACCTACACTTTCACTATGGTCACAGAGGCAATTCCAGTCTAAAGGCAAGAAGAGGAATTTGCCATGAATTATGGGTCCCTCTGCTAAGCTCCCAGAGCCCTCTGGGCATACCTCTATCACTTATCACTTAACTGCTAACATGATTTGTCTTCCATCCCACTGGGCTAGAAATCTGGTTAGTCTGAGTTTGCATCTTACTTGACATTTTTATATCCTTACTTCTAAGCACAATACCATTTGTTCACATCTGTTGTCTTGAAGGTGCTCAGTACCACATTTTTTCCCTTACTTTCTTTTCTTGTTCACTGTGTGTCTGCCTTATCCCCAAGTGCCATGAGGGTAGAAATCTTACTGGTCTTTTTCTTTTCTTTTTTTTTTTAAGATTTATTTATTTATTTGAGAGAGAGAGCATGAGCAAGTGGGGGGAGGGGCAGAGGGAGAGAGAATCCTGAAGCAGACTCCCCACTGAGCAAGGAGTCAGACCCTGAGATCATGACCTGAGCCAAAACCAAGAGTCGTCTGCTTCACCTACTAAGCCACCCAGGTGCCCCACTGGTCTTTTTCTTTTTTTAATTTGAGACCCATAAGTTCAGAGAACGCTCTTCACCCACTTCCTAGTTGTTAATATGTTACATTTGCCATATGGTGTATCAGTTTCTCTTTATGTATATACATTGTTATGGACAGCAGTGTGCCTTTCCTCAAATTCATTTGTTGAATCCCTCATCCCCAGTACCTTAGAATGTGACTGCATTTGGAAATAGAGCCTTTAGAAACATAATGAAGTTAAAATGAGGTGGTTAGGGTAGCTCCAAATCCAATCTGACTGGTGTCTTTATGAGAAGAGGTGATTAAGGTATCCAGAGAGACAGCAGAAGTGTACTGCCTTAGGGGAAACCCATGAGTGGACAGCGAGAGGGCAGCCATACGCAAGGCAAGGAGAGAGGCCTCAAGAGAGAAAACGCCCTGCCAACACCTTGATCATGGACTTCCAGCTTCTAGAACTGGGACAAAATAAATTTCTGTTGTTTAAGCTACCCCGTCTACAATATTCTGTTATGACACCCTTAACAAATCAATCTTTATACAGGTGACCCTTGAACCACATGGGTTTGAACTGCTTGGGTCCACCATGTAGAATTTTTTTGATAAATACAGTACAGTACTAGAAATGTATTTTTCTCTTCCTTGATTTTCTTGATAACATTTTCTCTTCTCTAGCTTAACTTTTTTTTTTTTTAAGATTTTATTCATTTATTTGTCAGAGAGAGAGCACAAGCAGAGGGAGTGACAGGCAGAGGCAGAGAGAGAAGCAGGCTCCCCGATGAACAAGGAGCCTGATGTGGCACTCAATCCCAGGACCCTGGGATCATGACCTGAGCCGAAGGCAGACACTTAGCCAACAGAGCCACCCAGAGGCCTCTCTCTAGCTTACTGTATTGTAAAAAAATATATGGATATAATACATATAACATAAAATACATGTTAATTGACTGTTTATGTTATCAGTAAAGCTTTTGGTCAATAGTAGGATATTAGTAGTTAAGTTTCTGGGGAGTCAAAAGTGATATGAGGATTTTTGACTAGGTGGGGGTGTGCACTCATAACCCCCCAGTTATTCAAAGGTCAACTGTATTATATTATGCTATGTTATATTATATATATATTTTTTTTCTGAACCATTTGAAGACATGATGTCTCTTTATTTCTAAAGCCAAGTACATTCTTTTATGTAACCACAATATGGTTAAGTAAAGCAGGAAATTAACACTAATACCATGCTATTAGCTGATCTACAGACTTTATTAATATTTTGCCAATTGTCCTGTAATATCCTTTACAGCAAAGAGAAAGGAAAAAGAAAAATGAAATAAAGAGGGCACCTGGGTGGCTCAGTCAGTTAAGCGGCTGCCTTTGGCTCAGGTCATGATCCCAGTGTGCTGGGATCGAGTCCCGTGTTGGGATCCCTGCTCAGCATGGAGTCTTCTTCTCCCTCTGCCCCTCACTCCGCTCAGGCTCACTTGCTCTCACTTCCTCTCTCTCTCAAATAAATAAAATCTTAAAAAAAAAAAGAAAAGAAAAATGAAATAAAGAGAAAGAAAAATAATTTTTTTGGTTCCAAATCACACATTACATTTGTCATGTCTAGACTTCTCTAATCTAGAACAGTTCCTCATGCTTTGTTTTTCATGACTTTGACATTTTTCAAAGAGTACAGGCTGCTTTTCTTGTAGAATGTCTCTCAGTTTGGGCTTGTCTGATACTTCCTTGTGATTAGATTAAGATCCACTAGTATATTCCAAAATTTCAGGAATATGGGTTTTTCCTAGACTGTTTTAATATTCCAGGTCTTTGTTCTCTCCTCTCAGTGTGTAAATGAAAAATCTGTAATAGTTTTTAGGGGACTTAATGGTTTAGGAAAAAATCACTTCATTCAATTTTCAGACTTGTGAAGAGTTAGGAAGTGATGTGTCCTCCTTAATGCATCATAATGCGTGTCTGTTCCATTACCGATGGTGTTAACTTTGATCACTCGTTTAAGGTCATGACTTTCAGGTTTCCCTTTGTAAATTTACTATTTTCCCCCTTTACTATTTTTTTTTAAAGATTTTATTTATTTGACAGAGAGAGACACAGCGAGAGAGGGAATACAAGCAGGGGGAATGGGAGAGGGAGAAGCAGGCTTCCCGCCGAGCAGGGAGCCCGATGCGGGGCTCGATCCCACGACTCTGGGATCATGACCTGAGCCGAAGGCAGACGCTTAACGACTGAGCCACCCAGGCGCCCCCCCCCTTACTATTAATAAGTATTTTGTGGGAGAGATACACTATGCAAAAAGGGTAGCCAGATAAAATACAGGAAGCCCGGTTTAATTTTAATCTCAGATGACCATCGAATACTATCCTACTACAAGTATGACCCCTCCTCCTAAATTATTTATCTAAAATTCAAATTTAATTGAGTGTCTTGTATTTTTACTTGCAAGATCTGGCAACCCAGTAAGTACATACCTGTTCCTCATCCAGTTTCATCCAGTTGTTTTGACATCCATTGATGATCCGTTTTTCCTATGATTTCGTCAAATAGTTTCTTTCTAACTCCATCATTCTTCTATTTGCCTATCTTTTTATCCACTTTTTATGCTGCCTGGCGCACAGTAGGCGCTCAGGTATTTCTTCAAGCAATGAATGAACAAACTCTCACTCGTGCTGGCCAGGCCTCCGTGACACCCGCTGCGTCGGGCAGGGGCTTGCCTTCCTCGGCCAATCTCTGCAGGCTACCGGGGCTTCAGAGCCTTCTAGGGCTCCCCTGCTGGCTCTTCTTGCTCCAATCACAAGCAGGGCTTTGCTGGGAAGTGGCCAATGGGTGCGGGCGGGAGGCGGGGCCTGCCACGCGGCCGCGGTATAACTGCACGGCCCGCGCGCGCGCTTCTCTCCTGGCGCGGACCTTGGCGCGGGTGATGGCTGCTGTTTCCGTCGTGTCCACGTTGGCCACCCGGCTGCTCGGGCCCGCGCAGAGCTGCCGCCTCCGTCATCGCCCCTTCCACGTCTCGGTAGTTCGGTAAGAGGGTCCGGGAGCTGGGTCAGCGCCGAAAGCCGAGGGGAACCGAGGGTGGGGGGCCGCCCGGGCTCCGAAGGGGCGCCGAGGGACGTTCTACCGAGCATCTCTGTCCCGGACGGTGACGGGGCGACGTGGCAGCCGAGCGCGGCCGCAGTCTGCGACCTGAGCGCTCGCTCCGTGGGGCGGGCTGACGCCCGGAGCCCGCCTTTCAGAGGGAGCCGGTCTCTGCAGCCCCGGGGCGTCGCCCTCTCTCGGGGTCAGTCCGTACGCGGGACGGGGCCCACGGTGCAGGCGGGCTCTGGGGCGCCCGGATTTACGCGGAACCGTACGGAGGTTACCGGCCAGAACCTGCCGGCCGCCCTTGGCGGTGTTGCCGAGCCGCTTGGCCAAGCAGAGCATACGCTTCGGCGAGCGCCGGGAAGGACTCTGAATGAGCAGCCTTCAGTGCGCGTCGGGATCCTAGCGGCAGAGGAGGTTGGTGCAGTCTGATGAAATCCCAGAGCCGGCTTGCTCGCCGGGTACCAGCTCTTCCCTCCTCCTTCGGGAGGTGGATGTGGCTCCCGCAGCTCTCCAAGCTGCCCCTTCCCCTGCCAAGAGAATAAATGTGCTGGGGTCACCAGGGCTTTGATGCGGTCCACCCGGAGCTAGTCACTGCCAGGCTGGTAAATTGAAGGGAAAAAAACCCGAGAGGAGGAGAGAAGAGCTCTGTTTGCCTTTTCTTAGGGAGGTAATGGGTTTTTCCTGATCTTTCTGGACTTCAAACTCCCATTCTTAAACCTAGGTTGAAGAGTCTTCTGGGAGCCTGTGCTTTCTCTCCTAAATCTGCGCACTCCCTCGCCCATCTTTAGAGCCTTTGCGTTGCCAGCGAGCTGAGCCCTGTTATAGCAGCCCCTTCTTTCATCTTGGCACTTGGCTAGGCTGTGTGAATTCAGGGATGATCATAAGTCCTCTTTCCTAGTCGAACTCCCTTACCTGTCAAGGGGCAGAACACGTGTGTACTTTCCACTCAGTGTAAAAAAAAATGTTAGAAACATTGCCAAGATGCTGTCGTAGCACAGAATGAGGATTAATGCGTTCTTGAAAGACGACCCGGGACACTCAGGGCTTTTCTTGTTCTGACCCTGACCTGCCTTTCAGCCCCATCCCTCATTACTGTCTGTTCTCTTCCCCGCTGCTCCCTTCCTGAGTTCTGGCCACGTGTGCCTGTGGCTTTCATGATTGAAGAGATTTGTAAAGATCCTCTAATTCATCACCTAGAAAACTGGACCAGTTCACTCTCCAGTAACAGATGCCCTCCTTTCACTAACGTTTCTGAATGAACAAGTAGACTTCCATATCTCTGAAGGCAATACAATGGTATTTACGGTTTCCTTGTATTGCTTTGATCACTGCTGGCTAGTAAATGTAAAACAATATCTTTTATGAGTCTGCATGAATTCCTTTTGAGGGGGGAGGGTTTCAGGAACATAAACTCGTGGTTGGAGAGAGAGTACTATAGTAGACTGGGGTATAGGGAAAAATGGACTTTGGAGGCAGAGGTTTGTGTTTGAATCTTGTTTCTACTGTCCTCACTTTCCCTTTCTGTAGTATCACAGTATACTATTATACTATTATAGTATAATAATAGTATAATAGTATTATAGTTAGTATAATAACCCCAAGGTAAATGAGAGTAATGTATGTAAAACTCATAGCAAAATACCTAGTGTTTTTTAAAGATTTTATTTATTTATTTGACAGAGAAAGACACAGCGAGAGAGGGAACACAAACGGGGAGTGGGAAAGGGAGAAGCAGACCCCCTGCTGAGCAGGGAGCCCGATGTGGAACTCGATCCCGGGACTCCAGGATCATGACCTGAGCCGAAGGCAGTCGCTTAACCGACTGAGCCACCCAGGCGCCCGCAAAATACCTAGTGTTTAATAGATGTTAGTTCCATCCCCCTTTGTATGTAATTAATTAGTAGATAACCGAACCCTTTCCAGAATAACCTGATCATAAACTGTAAAATGCACCTGATAATTGTTTTTATGGAAAATTATAGTGTTGTACGCTATTGAATTAGGAAAGCGAAGATGCTACTGAGCTGGATTTTGAATTTTATTTGAACAGTCCTTGTGACTTTTTTCATCTGTTCACTCATTTTATTTTATTCTCATTCGTAATTTTAACCCATTATTAAACACATCTGTGAAAAGCATTTAATTCCTACATAAGTGTTAGCTAATATAGTTAATACATTTTGGATTCCCTGTGGGACTGAGCTGAGCCTTTATTTCTGTTTCTTTTGAGGTAGCAGTTACTTTATCTGCCCTTTGGCAAAAGAGATGATGGGAAATGAGGTAATGACTCACTGGCAGGACTGTTTCACATTTTGCAGAGTTGTATATGCAGAGGAGGGCTAAAACAGCTGATATTACAGAAGATACTCATTGTGTTGTTGCTTTGCTTTTGGTTCTAGTTGCTCTTTGACAGTTTTTTTTTTAAAGCTAATTGGCGTAACATCCAGAACCTGCCTTTGGGACTTGGAACACCGGGTTCTCCCAGAACCCTCTGTTTTTAACTGTAGTAGATTAGTCTTAGCCCAAATGTGCTGCTACCATTTTGTCTAAGTTCATGACTTTCAATTCCTTAAAAAATATTTTATTTATTTATTTGAGAGAGTCAGAGAGTGTGGGGTGGGGTGGGGGAGGAGCAGAGGGAGAGAGACAAGGGTGGAGCCTGACAGGGCCCTGCACACAACCCTGAGATCACAACCTGAGCTTAATTCACTAGCCACCTCAAAAGGAACTTTTTAAGGAAATGTGATTTAAGACTTTACTGAATATTTATATGTGTGTATATATGTTTACACACATATCCTTATGAGTAAGTAAATATATATGTTATATATTAAGGATATGCGGCGTGTGTGTTTGTAAATCTAACCAACGGAAGAGAGTAAGAAATTAATTTTTATTGAATATATATGCCTTGCACTTTATATATGTTATTTCATTCATTATAAATCATTGTCATAAGCTCTTTTAAAGTAATCTTTCATTCTACAGCATTGCAGGGTTGGGAATATATTTCTGTACTGGGGCTATTTCCCAGGAGTGTTGCCAGAGGTGTTTGTGTCCAAAGCCCTTTGAATGAAGTCCCCTTCAACTCTAGTTTTAAAATTGCTTTGTGAATGTTAACATGTTTTCAGTTCCTTAATATACCATGGGTGTATGTGAAATGCTATTATATGTTTTGTGCTATGCTGGTATCATTACATAAAATTTGGGTGAAAGTGCTGTTTGCTATAAAATTTTATCTTTTTAAAGCTCCCAAGATACAAATACAAATTAATATAAAGTTTAGATATAAAATTACTGCTTTATATATAAGACATTTCAATCTGGTTTAAAGTAGGTGTTTAATCTTAATGGAAAAGAAGCATGGAAGGTTTAAAGACTTTTGAAGCTTTAAAATTCCATTTTAGGGGTGCCTGGGTGGCTCAGTCGTTGTGTCTGCCTTCGGCTCAGGTCATGATCCCAGAGTCCTGGGATTGAGCCCCGCGTCAGGCTCCCTGCTCGGCGGGGAGCCTGCTTCTCCCTCTCCTACTCCCCGTGCTTGTGTTCCCTCTCTCGCTGTCTCTCTCTGTCAAATAAATAAATAAAATCTTTAAAAAAGATAAAATAAAATTCCATTTTAATTAACAGTGGTCTTAAGAATGAATGATACCTGGCTGGCTCAGTTGGTGGAGCGTACGACTCATAATCTCGGGTTTCTAAGTTCAAGCCCCATGTTGGGCGTAGAGATTACTTAAAAATAAAATCTAAAAAAAAAAAAGAATGAATCATATCTGACCATACAGGATATCGAGTACCTTGGTGTTATCCCTGAGAATTAAATATGTGCTATTAGGGGAAACTTTTTCAATATTTCAGACAACTGTGTGTTTCATTGGTCTTGAGATTGAAGGATTCTTTGTGATACTGAAGACAGAAAGGAAACAAAAGGGGAAGACTTATTTCCACTAGACCTTTATGCTAAAAGAGCAGTTGCTCATCCTACATTAAGTATTGGGAACTTTATTATAAGGCCATGTATGGAAATAAGAAAACCAGGAATCTTCCACATTAGAACCCAGGAAGAGCTGCATAAACAGTTCTTATTGGGAAGAAGTGGTCTTTCAGAGATCGGAACATGGTTTTGGGAACTGGAGGTTCTTCTAGACCCTGAGTTTTCTCGTTGCCCCATCAGTAGCAGTTTCCGCATCTCTTGCTCTGTCCTACCATGACTGTGACTTCTATTCTCTCTGTCTCTACTTTTTTTCTATGTCTGTCTTCAGCTCCTCCCACCAACAGGTCCTCTGTGGTTCTAGTGTGTGAATGTGTTTCAGGGAGAAGCTCTTACCAGGCTAGTTTACCACTGCTCCTGTGGCTCTGAGCTTGTGCACCAACTGGACCGCTGGCTGGCCTAGAAATTGTCCTTGGTGTCCGATAGTCATTCCTGATCTGTCAGCTGAGGGTGGGCCACTGGGGTCCTGGGGTAGAGCACACTGCCACCCATGGCATGGAACCTCCTTATTCTTACTGGGAAAGTCTTCTCCAGGAGGGGCTGTGGGGAGCAGTGGTAATTTTGAGGTTTGATCTGTCCAGAACATTGTCTATTTGTTTAATTGCATAACATAATTTATATATTTGAAAGCATCATAGAAATTAAAAGCCAGGGGCGCCTGGGTGGCTCAGTCGGTGAAGCGGATGCCTTCGGCTCAGGTCATGATCCCAGAGTCCTGGGATCGAGTCCCGTATCGGGCTCCCTGCTCAGTAGGAGGCCTGCTTCTCCCTCTCCCACTCCCCCTGCTTGTGTTCACTCTCTCGCTGTCTTTCTCTCTATCAAATAAATAAATAAATAAAATCTTTAAAAAAAAAAGAAATTAAAAGCCAATTGACTTAACTGGGAAATGGTTTGAAACACATGGCTGGATGCTAATAACTTAGGCAAAACACAAACTACAAAATGGTATATAAGCATATAGGAAACACTAACCTCATAGTGGTGACGGGTCAAATAAAACAATGCAAATTAAAACAGTGGAAAGCTTTTTTTGGGGGGGAGGGGTCTATCAATGTGTCAGTGATCAGGGGTCCAGATGGTGTAGTGGTAAGAGCCTGGACTCTGGATTCAGACTGAGCTGGGTATGAGGGCCAGCTTTGCCAAGTACTAGCTGTCACTCACTTAACCTCTCCAAGCTTCAGGGTAATGATAGTATTTCAGTCAACGTTATCTCCCCAAACATGTAGCTGGACACAGATTTACCACTCTGAAACTGCCTTTCAGATTTCTGTTGTCCCTCAGCTTAGGCACCGTGTGTTTTAATCTACTCTTTAGGGGCGCCTGGGTGGCTCAGTCGTTAAGCGTCTGCCTTCGGCTCAGGTCATGATCCCAGGGTCCTGGGATCGAGTCCCACATCGGGCTCCCTG